AGGATATGATTAGCAAAGCTTGACCGGCCAAATCAGTACATGCACTGATTCTGCTGCCAAGGCTTCACTGAGAAGGTTTAGGCTCAAAATAATTCCAGTATTCGAGCCTGTACTAGGATACCTCAACTTTTTTGGAAGCCTCTCCTTGAAATCTCACTCTGTATAATATTTCAGAAAAGTGGGAAGAGTTACAGGAGAATTTCTTCTATAGGAATCACATGAGTAACAAGAAATCCCACATTTCCCCAAATAATCACTTGTGGAAATGCAAAAATGCTACCTTATTTATGAGACTACCAGGGTTCTCCACCTGTCAGGCCTGACATGGTTCAGCTGCACAGGCCAGAGACATTTTTGATTCTCCATGTGTCAGGGACAAGTGTCACACATACTGATTTGCACAGAAAACCACAGAGAGCACTCTCCAGGGAAAGCCAGCATTTTGACAAGGCTCAGTGATGACTTAGAGCAACAGGGGTAGGAACTACTGTGTGATGTTGTCCATAGACCCATATCATTTGAAATTTAAATTCCTTGTAAAACACCAAGAAAATATGGGTCAGAGAGCTGCTAATGGAGATTCTAGGGAAGGGACTGTCACTAAATCACCCTGAAGACTTAAAAGTGACTGAAAGAGCATTAGGAAAGAGGTCAGTTCAAAAGCTAGCAGTAAAAAAAAAAAAAAAAAAGCAAAACATCATTTAAGAGTCAACACACTGAGGTACTGATGGGGTCAGCCAGTCATTATCTGAATTTTTATCTCCAGGTATGGTTATTACACTTGAGATGAGAAAATAATAGTTTCAATGCTTTAAAGGGGTTCCCCTCTTTTTCCTCTCTCTTCAACTTCTTTATCCGCTTATTCTGCTCAACCTGTAATTTAGAAATTGAAGAGAAAGCCTCTCTTGGCTTTCTGCTCCATAGGCTTCACTTGATCACCAGCTTCTCAGAAGTGCCGTCCACTCCACTGCCTCATTCATTCCCCCAAGACCCCTCGCTGTTTGATTTCTGAAACTATTTTCTCAGTGAGTCAGTGACATTTCTCAACCATCCGCTGCTCTTACCTGGGGGTAGTTATGTGTGTGTGTGTGTGTGTGTGTGTGTGTTTGGGCATAAAGTTATGTGTGCTTGTATTCCTTACTACCAATTTGGGAGACAAAGCGGATATTTCTCCAGCTAAAAAGTCAAGTAGAAAGGGGATGTGTTGGGGAGGGCTCCTGAGCCCCAAGCGGAGCTTCCAACCCATCACTAAGCGATGGGTGCAACTACAGCATGACAAAGGCAAATATGACTGAATCCCCTGATAAAATCAGAGGCTTAAGAAATTGGATTGTGTCTTCTCCCCTTCTTATCCACATGGGGTCTAGAATATTCTCCTCATACTGTCACAAGAAGGCTCATCTAACTATGCATTGCTTTTCAGCCCAGCCTCGGACCTAGGTTGTCCTTACAAACGCAGCAACACGTGGGCAGAGCTTGTGTGAGCATGTCCACAGCTGTTCCAAGAGATTCTCTCCTGGGAAGGTGACACAGAGTCTTGGACATTGTGTGTGAGATTGAGCCCTGCCAACGAGCTAATTAAACGTGTTTTTTTAAAAGCTCTAAGCTTAGCAGCGAGAGTGGGCGGCTAATTTCCTGACTCACCTATTCAACTCATTTGTGGTCCCAGCAAATACTTCCTCTTGTAGGACACACTGCCTGGCTCTGTTTCCAAGCCGTTCCATTTCTTCACAGGGTAAATAGGAATGCACAGACTAATAGCTTTCTCTCTTGTGTGGGATAACGTTTATGAAGTGGAGTTCAGTTCTTTGTGCAAAAGGAATTGTGGGGGCTTCCCTGGTGGCTCAGTGGTTGAGAGTCCGCCTGCCGATGCAGGGGACACGGGTTCGTGCCCTGGTCCGGGCAGATCCCACATGCCGCGGAGCGGCTGGGCCCGTGAGCCATGGCCGCTGAGCCTGCGCGTCCGGAGCCTGTGCTCCGCAACGGGAGAGGCCACAACAGTGAGAGGCCCGCGTACCACAACAACAACAAAAAAGGAATTGTGGGAATGTCAGAACAGTTTTGAACAAAACTGGATATTCAATTAAGAGCCTTTCCCTTCTAAGGCCCAGAGCTCTCACTGGAAAAGTGCAGAGTCCATCCCAGCCCAGGGTGGACTTCGTAACTGGGGATGTGGGGAAAGAAACCCTGGGCCTTACATCCCTATTTGTGAGCCTAGGAAACCTGTGTGTCTGGGAGTCATCTTCAAAGCTTGGAAAATCAACAATCACAATAAAACAACATCCAATATTCAATAGAGCTTCCATGGTAGAATTTTCTAATTTAAAAATTACTTTTATTCCACAAAAACCTAGCAAAAGGAAAATGTTGCTAATTAAAACCCCCAATGGAAGTCTCTTTGTTTTGATTAGATGCAGGGTCTTGACTATCCTAGCAGTAGACAGAGGTTACTTAGCAGAGGTAATTGTTAGCCGCTTCTACGACCGCCTGCAAAGGTTAAGGGTGGTGGCAAATGTGAACAGCTACATGCTAGTAGAGAGGACATCTCTGCCGTTCTGCCTATCGTGATTAAGGATCTACTCAGCTAGAATAATGAAATTGACTCTATGCCTAGTAAAATGGGAGCCGGCTAATTGTCATGCCAATTCATGACATTTTATATGTGTTGTCTCTTTACCTCAGAGCTAGTTGTTGAATTCAATTCTCCTTTCCCTAGGATAATTTTTAGTAAATAAAACTCTATGCATGATGAATATGGTTTTCAGCCAACTTGTTCATGCTTAGGGTCAGGTTTGGCAAATATCCCACGCGTATGTTTCATGCTTCTTTTTCTCCACATACCCCTTAGCTGTAAGTGTTCCCCAAGGATCTCTCATGAACTCTCTTCTCTTTCTATATACTTTGCCCAGGCAATCTCAGCCACTCCTGTGGCTTTATGTTCCATCTACATGCTTATAACACTTAAAATCTTTCTTCTGCTTTAACTCTGTCCAACTCGGCTTACAGCCTTTTATTTCCAGCTTTCTTATTGAAATCTCCTTTGGAAATTCTACCTGGCTATTTAAGTCAACATGTCAAATACCAAACTTACGGGCTTCCCTGGTGGCGCAGTGGTTGAGAGTCCGCCTCTAGATGCAGGGGACACGGGTTCGTGCCTCGGTCTGGGAAGATCCCACATGCCGTGGGGCAGATGGGCCCATGAGCCATGGCCACTGAGCCTGCGCGTCCGGAGCCTGTGCTCCACAACGGGAGAGGCCACAACAGTGAGAGGCCCGCGTACTGAAAAAAAAAAAAAAAAAAAAAAAAAAACCAAACTTATAAAATGCCCCTGTTTACAAACTAATTTCTCTTATGCAGCCCATCTACCAACTGATCACTCCTTGCTGTCTCTCAAGCACCAAGACCCACCAATTCTCCGTCCCAAATATCTTGTGGGTATTGTCCCCTCTGCTCTATCCTCCCTGACGTTATCTTTTATTCATTCACTCACTAAAGGCTTACTATATTCTAGCACCGTGCTAAGGGCTAGTGACACAGAGGGAAGATGAGAACCAACGAGTAAGTACAATGCAAAGCACGGTGGCCACTGACCTATCAGAACCCAGGGTGGGGGATGTTCAGGGCAGAGCAGGATGTGCAAGAATTTGGGAGACTGAACCTAGGACTCTTCCTGTCTTGGTACAACTCATCTCTTGCCAGAACGTTTGGGAAAGCTTCTAGCCACACGTCCATTCTGCCCTCTGCCCTGCTGCCTGAACTTAATTTCCAAAGTTTAAATCAGATTGTGTCATTGTCTGACTAAAACCCTTCCATTATAGCAGGACAAGTGCCAAACTTCTTGATTCTACTTACAAAACAGTCCCACTCAGCTTTTTCTCCCCCCAGCACTCTTTTATACAACACAGTTACTAACCTCACGGCCCATGAAATAGGAAAAGAAAGAGCAGAAATGAAAATGCCCACTCTGCCTTAAAAATTTACCGTCAGTGTCATTTTCAACCACCCTCTTTTCCCCTTTGGCAATCAACTCAATGGATCATTTTCCTAATGATTGCTGTTCACACTTTGCATGACTGCTTCAAGTATCAAGACACTGAATAGTTTTGATGACCACAGCTAATCAGTGTGTGATTATTTACTGCCCTGGTGTACTCCCAAAGGCTCCATACAGATATGAGGTATATAGTAGCCATGCAGCAGGCTGCCAAAAATGAATCCTTAGGTCTTGCTTTTAGGAACACTGAGTCCATCTTTATAGAAGAGTGTGATCTCGAGAGAATGAGAGCCAGGTGCCGACTACCTCTCCCTTCACAGGAATAAGTCGCTGCAACAACATTCATTCATTCATTCACTTAGTCGTTCATGCATCAAACAGGAGTGACCCAGGTCTTTGCTGAGGGATCAGGGGGTGGAGGGGAAATTTGAAAGGCTTTTAAAGATTGAATAAAGGTTTTTTGTTTTGGTTTGGTTTGGTTTTTTTGGGGAGCAAGAAGTGTGTGTGTGTGTGTGTGTGTGCATGTGTGTGTGTCTGTGTGTGTCTGTGTTTATGTATTTAAGGAAGGAGGGGAACAGTAGCACTTAGATGGGAAACAAATAGCTGCTCTGGTAAAGTGAATCAAAATGCCAGGGTAATTAAAAAATGACACGAGTTTGGGAAATTATGGCAAGTTCCTTGTGGCTTGAGGGAGGCAGCAAAGGGTGGTTAGGGGGTGGGAGTGGTGCAGGAAGAGACACTGGAAGGTAAAGAGCATGAAGATTATAGAAGACTCGTACCAAGGAGCTCAGACTTTCTCTTGTAAGCAGGGAGGAGCGAGCCCAGAGAAATCTCTAAGCAGGGAAGTGAACAGTCAGATCGTTTTTTGATTAAAGGTTCGGTGCGTGTATAGTGATGGATTTGAGAAGATGAACATTTAATGAGTGCTTTATACAGGTGACCACAACCAAGGACAAGTCCCTGGCTACATCCCAGCTAACTCTGCATATCTGTGTGTCTTCCCTAGTGACGGTGTTGGCCATTTTCCATGAACTGCATGTCGACCCCGACCTGTACACACTCTTGTTTGGGGAGAGTGTGTTGAATGATGCAGTTGCCATAGTCCTTACATAGTAAGTACCAGAACTTGGCCTGTGCTTCTTTGACCATGTAAAATATGCTTCTACTTGGTGATAATTCCTAGTGGCTTTAATAGTGTCTTTTCTGTTATGTCACAGAGATACAGTCAATTTCTAACTTTTAAGGAATTATTATCACAGAAGAGTGCCAAGAGTAGGAACATTTCATTAGCCACTTAATTTCTAACACCTTAATAAGCTTCATGTTTCCAGCTTATTACAAGATACTACTCAAAGGGTAACATTTTTTTTCTCGGTGTATGTATTTTAGCTGATTCACTTAGGCTTCCTAAAATGCACATAAATAAGCTTTCTTCATTTCAAATCAATATCATTTAATTTTTTTCCTTAAGTCACTTTCCAGATAATAGACTAATAGAAACCGTTGTATTTATACTAATTTTGGCAAATTGGAGGTAGACGTTGAGCGTCAGAATATTCTTTATTTATCAGTACAAATGTAACACATTATAGAAACACACACATTTTAAAATCATCACGTGACAAGTCAAAATGATGGAACTTTGTCTGCTAAGAGTTAATGTAATTTTCCCTTCATCTTTTCCCCTTTAGATGCTTACCATTTATATTTAATAAATGACACTTTGGTGGCTCTCACTATGTCAGAGGTCTCTTCTTGGTTTTAGATTAAGACCAACATTTTGGGCAGCAGTCAGATACCCTCGAGGAAGGTAGCTATCTAATAATTAAATGTGACAACAAGATTCAATTCAGGGTTTTAATTACTTCAAATGCATTTGAAAATGTATTGCAAAGTAACAAAGGATTTTTAAAAGTCAGATCGCCCAGAGGGGAGTAGGAAACAACAGGGCAGCACTATTCTTTTTTTCTGCCAGCTGACATTTCTTAAGGCTGCCACCCTAAAGTTACCACTGAATTCAGCAACTTTCAAGAAAGAGTCTCCAAAAAAAACTTATATTTTACCTGGCTACTGAGAAGTGCCTCTCCTGCATTAAAGGAAAATACCAGTGAGTGCAAATTAAGAGCAAAAGCCATGGCAGATTCACAAATGCCAAAGGATGCTTTTAAAGAAACACCAAGAACAATTAATTAAAACATCAGGGATCTTTGTCCAAGATATACTAGTATTAAAGGAACATTTGGAGGAAAAATTTTTAAAAATCTGCTGAGTCCCTCATCTTCACTTCCTGAGCTGCCATGTTGTAAAAAGGCCAAGCAAAGCAAAACGACTAAAGCACAAATGAGCCTTGGGAAAGAATCATGCAGCTACAGCCAAGGAAAGGTTTGGCCTTTCTACTTTCAGCACTACCGTGCACAGTAGTTTTCCATTCAAAATGCAGACTCCAAGGATGAATGTTGACACTGTTGAGCACAAGCCTGGGGGGCATTTGAAACAGTCCATTTAAGATCTCCCCAGGTCAACATGTGGTTATTACTGGTAGCGCCTCTTCTACTCCCCTATCCGTGCGTTGCATGTCTTAATAAAATGTGTTTCCCACCATGGCAAGATCCTTTCCTTTCTAGGCACCAGACACTTGCCAGTCTAGCTGAAATCTTGTGCTTCCCAGCTTTGGCATTTCAGGTATTGTGCAGAGTGACCACAGTGAGTTTCAACTTTAAAGATAATTCTAAATTAGGAATACTTGGCACGGAAACTTCCACACATTCAAACCTGCAAGCTCGTGCTTCCACCTGGTGCATTTGAACTCCACCAGCCTCTTCCAGGAGCTCTACTTAGCGTTAATGTACAGCTGTCCCTCTGTATCCACAGGGAATGGGTTCCAGGCCCCCTGTGGATACCAAAATCCACAGGTACTCAAGTCCCTTATATGAAATGGCATAGTACAGTCAGCCCTCTCTATCCGTGGGCCCCATGTCTGCTGAGTCAACTCACTAAACCTCGGATTGTTCGATGAGGAACCCGCGAATACGGAGGGCCTCCTGTAACTAGGTTACCCTGGGTCTAGCTCTCTGTCCCCCTGTGCCGTCTGTTGACCACTTCTTCTTTCACCTTACACAATCCTCCCTGTGTTTCACTCTTCACTTTTCTCACTTGCTTCTTAAACTTAGTTTGCAGCACGTATGACAATCTCTTTTTTTTTTTTTAACATCTTTATTGGAGTATAATTGTTTTACATTGTTGTGTTAGCTCTGCTGTATAACAAAGTGAATCAGCTATACGTATGCATATATCTCCTCCCTCTTATGTCTCCCTCCCACCCTCCCTATCCCACCCCTCTAGGTGGTCACAAAGCACCGAGCTGATCTCCCTGTGCGATGTGACAATCTCTTTTTATACATCTACTTACACACACATTCCCTCTCCTTTAATGCTGCATCCCCAACTATCTTCCAACTATCTTCTAGTTCCCATGGAAGAACCCTATTTAACAGTTTTCCATGACTTTCAGACCAGGAGTTCAAACATTTGTCTCTCCATTTTTCTCTTCCTTCACTCTAACTTCACATAGTAGCCAGACACATCTCTCTGGCTTGTAGCCTCATGCCTTTCTTCACAGGCGCAAAGCTCTCTCTTCCCAGGTCCTGCTTCTGCCCCATCAAGTCTTTCACCATGTACCTCAGTCTCCTCCTCTGGGGACCACTAGCTCACATGCTAAAGTCCCTCATCCACCTCCGTATGTGCCCCCACCGATTCCTTGCTAGCTCAGCCATGAAATCTTGACTTTACACGTATATTTGCTTTTCTAGATAGTAACTTTCTGAAGATGGAGACTTTGCACTTGAAACGTACATTAAAAGAGACAGTGAAAACCTCCTTTGTATTTTCCCTTTCTCAGTTCCATCTTCGTGTGGTTTTGAAGTTCAAGAATAGAGGTAGAGCTTTTATTGTACCATGGAAAGGAAAAGACACATTTTGATGTGAAATCAAGTACAGTAAATGACCTAAATCATCAGCCCCTATGGCCTTGGCAATGACTCTGGAGCCTCTTTGGAACAGCCACACACTTTCATTTGTCTTTCCATCTTCTACAAGCAAATCTCCTTGCTTAAGAACCATCCTCTTAGTATTTAAAAAAGTTTTATTGTTAGTTTTTTGACAGTAATGTGCTCTAGTATTCCTCATTCAAATACAAAGTAATTTAGCCACATTTTAGATTAAATCAGCTTTTCTGTGCTAATCTAAGAAGCGAACTAATTATAATACTTTTTCTTAGGTTAAATGTGCTCTGAATTTCAGACAACTAATTTATCATTGAATTTGATGACCATAACTCTTGTACACAGCGGCATGTGGTAGGTGGTGTCCCTAAGGCTTAAAATGATCCAGAATTATCTTAAGATAAAAGTAACTTTATTTAACAAAAAAGTTTTGAAATTAGCTTTTCTCTGATCCATGCTATTATTTCAAGTATATAGGGAATGTCATACCCAAATATGTGTGTGTATTTGTTCATGAATGAATTCCATGTGAAGGATTTGCACTTCTAAAGATTGTGTAATAGACTGTGAAGGCAGGCAAAAGATATAATGAAGACATCTTGAAAGGTGTGTGTTTTTGAATCCTGAACAAAGACATTACTTTCAGAGGCACCATGGTAGGGTAGAAAGAGCCCTAGGTTGAAGTCAAAAGTGGTGGTGTCAGGATTGTCACGAATTAACTGTACAATTATTACAGTTGACATGAAATCCACCCAAACTGGAGTGAACACAAGGGGAGTCTGTGTTGGCTGATGTAACTGAACAGCAGGAGTAGAAATGGCTCAGGAAAGGATCCAGTGAAATGAGCTGAACTCTCACCTCGCTCAGCTTCTTCCGGGTTATCTCCCTCACCCGGTCACTAGATAGTTGCCAGCGAGTCCCAGGGCTGCATCTTTCTTCAGGAGGTTAGAGCAAGAATCTTTGTCCCATTATTCCCAACATAAATCTTAGTACACCTTATAGATTCTGACGCTATTCCAGACCCACTTGTGGCCAGGGAAATGTGCTTCATTTACTGTCTCAGGTCTAAGTCACATTGTTCATAAATTCAGGGCAGTAATTGGTTTTACTTGGAAGCACATGAACTGAGACTGGGGAAAGATGGGATTCTTGCTCAGAGTAATACTGCCACAGAAAAGGAAAAGTGGATGCTGGTCAGAACCAAAACAAAACAGAACAGAACCTAAAAGACCACGACAGTGACTTCAAATGGCCATAAACTCTTCATGCTTGTTTCCTTACCTATAATATGTAAGAATAGTTGTTCTGTATACATTACAAAATTATTCTGGGCAATAAATAAAGCAATATGTTTGGAAAGGCTCTATAATCTATATAATCTACATAATCTATGCTTATAAATATATATACTTATTATAATTTATATAGTCACGTATATCAGTATCTTTCATTGTACTTACACAGATCTCTCTGGTTTCATTGTTATGACTAAAGGTAGACCTGCTTCTAGTGAAGCATTCCTTCATAAATATGGCATTTTACGATCCAAGGAATAGAGAGAATAACCATTTTTACATGTGATTTCCCCCATTAAGAATGAACCACTTAGTTAAGGTACACTGTCTAAAGAACTAGAGGTTGAAGTATATTACTTAAAGTTACACAGGTACTCACAACCAAAATTGATACTACTTGTGGAAGTTAATTGGAGGAGGAGAGAGAGAAAGGCAGGGCTAAGTTACCTAAAATGTCACATCTCTCACAGTAAGAAATCAATATGTATGTGTGGAGTTGATAGATCAAGAAATGGAAGTATATACATATTATTTAGAGCCACGGGGCAGCCATCGGAAGAAATAAAACCATAAATGTTACTAGTTGGTTGAGTAAATTATAATATATTAAGATCATGAAATCCTACGCAGACATTTGAAAAATGATAGAAAAGGAGTGTTGATGTTAAAAGATACTCACAATATATTTTTTAAGAAAATAGGAAAAATGTTAAATGTTGTATACTCTAAGATCTATTTTGGTTTAAAAAAATCACAGCCAAATTCATGTGTGTGTAGGCATGTGGGTGTATAATTAGAACACATTATTATTTATAT